GAACTTGGCCAGTCCGCTCCTGACTCCAATGTCCACATCATTAATGAAGATGTTGAACAATATGGGTCCAAGGACAGAGCCTTTGGGGACCCCACTGGTCACAGGACACCACGATGAGTGATCAGTTACAACCCTCTGGGTCCGACCACAGAGCCAGTTTCCCAGCCAGCGGATCATGGTGGACCCAAGGCCACAATTGGCCAGTTTTGCCAAGAGGTGATCATGGGGTACCAGATGGACGGCTTTTTTGAAGTCAAGATATATGGACATACAAAAAAAATGGACATACAATTATTGCTCCAAGTGAGCCATATGAAAGAAGAACTTGCTCAAGTACACATAGGAGGTCTGTGGTACAGCCATGAATAGGCCTCTTGAATTCAAGACATAATAACAAGACATTCTTTCTTGAAGTACCCTGATTTCTTATGGTGTTTTTGTCTTCCCGTTTTTCTCAAACCAGCATATTCATCTGGTTGCCCCTCTGTTTTTTCCTACGACCTGCATACCTACTGAGCTTTCACAGAAAGTATGAAACTTTGGGCACACTGTAATGTCTGAATTAAACAGGACAGTTGTCAGTGAAAATATCCGAGGCCTGTTTCAAAAAATGCTGACAGGCCTTATATTATTCATAATGACCAACAGGCTGGGTTCTTCACTGGTGTAAATTAGCATAACTCCACACTGTATCAGGCATACCTGAATTACACTTAGCCCTATATAGTTTCCAAAAAGTTAACAAAAAAATCTAGGAGCTGGGAGTACTCTCTGGTCTTTCATGGGATCCAATTTCTTCCCCTCTTGTGGATGGATGGGAAGACTGGGACCATGAGGATGCGACTTGCCCCATATTTACTTAGCCATTAGGGATGGTCAGTAAAGAGGGAGGGTGCTTTGAAAGAGACCTTCAATCAGCTTGAAAAAACTCTATTTGTCTGGTAGCCACCTGGCTACCCACTTGTAATGCTATGTGTCACACAATGCTAGATTTGCATGCCTTTCTTCACTCCCTGTCATCGTGTTCCCCTCAAGCCCATACAACAAGCCAGTGGCAAAATTTGGTTTAGAAACTGGACCCCCCCCACACTTTAGAAACTGAACAGCACACCCATGTTTTATTTATGAGACCATCCTACCTCTGGTAGCAAGAAGAAGCTGTGATGTCGGAGCAAGCACACTGGACTGCAACGTGGAATATTTGAGTGACCTTGGGCAACTGGATCCATTTGCTACTCCTGGGTTTCCCCATCTGTACAGCAGGGAAAATTACAGTTACCGTCTTTATCATGTACTAGTGAAAAATCCTGTGTAAAAGCTATGCATTAGTGAGAGAATGGTATATCATACATATGATAAAAATGTATGCATGCATGTATGTATAGATAAGCAACTCAGTTAAATGAGCTCAGTTAATGCCACAGAAACATTTAGAGAGAAAGAAGAGTTCATTAAAACGGAGAGGTGCAGTAATTAAAGGAAATAGAACAGAAACAATCTATATCTAATTACCTTTGGAAACAATTTAAGAGCGGCACCAAAAGCAATGGGCTCATTTACCCTGGCATACCTGAGAGGAAGAAAAACAAGGGCATCGGAGCAGGTCTGCCTTTGCACTCATGCAGTTGAAAGCAGGTCCAGACTTCTGTTTCCTCATTTGCCTAGGGGTAGTTCTGGCTGTACCTACCAACAGCAGAATTGGGCCTGCCGTCTGCAACACTATCCTCAGTGAGCGCGAACTGCCACGAACTGGATGTCATATATTTGGACTTCAAGAAAGCCTTTGACCTAGTTCCCCACAATGTCCTCATGGCTAAGCTGGGGAACTGTGGCCTTGATCATCTTACGGTCTGATGGCTAGGTAACTGGCTATGGGGTCAGACCCAAAGAGTTGATGGGAGCAAATCAACGTGGTGTAGGGGGACCAGTGGAGTACCTCAGGGCTCAGTACTTGGACAGGTACTCTTTAACATCTTCATTCATGATCTAGAGTCGGGAGTCACATACGAACTGGCAAAGTTCACAGATGACACCAAATTATGGGGAAGGGCGGTCACGCTGCAGGACAGGCTGGGTATACAGGCTGACTTGGACATGCTTTCAAGGTGGGCTGACCAAAACCTGATGGTCTTCAGTGCAGAGAAGTGTAGTGCTGGACCTCAGTAGGAAGAACCCTCAATATGCTTACAAGCTCAGCAGTGCTACGCTGGCACCACGAACAAAAGAGACTTGGGGGTCCTGACTGACCGCAAGATGAATATGAGGCACCAATGCAATGCTGTGGCTGGCAAAGCAAACCAAACTCTGGCATGCATCTACCGAAGCATCTCAAGCAAAACCAGGCATGTCATCTTTCTGTTTTACTCAGCCTTGGTGAGACCGCAGCTGGAGTGCTGCATCCAGTTTTGGGCCCCATGCTTCAGGAGGGATGTGGAAAAGCTTGAGAGGATCCAGAGGAGAGCCACGCATATGGAGGGCAGACCATACAAGGAGGGGCTGAGGGATTCAGTCTGAGAAAGAGAAGGCTTGGGGGGACTGGGTAGCAACCTACAGTTATATAAGAGGCATACATCAGGACCTGGGAGAACAGCTGTTCACCAGAGCTCCTCAAGGGATAAGGTCTAATGGCCATAAACTCCAGGAGGCCAATTTAGACTAGACATAAGAAAAAAAGTTCTTTATGGTGCGTGTGTCCAGGGTCTGGAACAGACTCCCCCAAGAGATGGTGCAAGCACTTACTCTGCACTCTTTCAAAAAACATCTGGATACTTTTTCTTGCTGGGATCACTTGATTCCAGCTGACTTCCTGCCTATGGCACAGGGGCTGGACTCGATGATCTCACAAGGTCCCTTCCAGCCCCTAATGCCTATGAAATCTATGAATGCCTTAGCTTCAGTGCAGCTACACCAGTGGAAAACAGCTGTTCTTAAAGTTGAGACACCTATTGGTGTCTTCTGTGTGAGAAGTAGGCAACAAGTGGTAGGAAAACAGGGTTGAGATTCTGCATTACTTTTAAGTGTAACGATAATTAAAATTTAGTCCCTTGAAATGAACGGCTCTAAAATGCTACAGCTGTGAAACTGTGTAGCAGCTGTATGAACTCTGCATCCAGACAACTACATTCAACTTGTGGCCTGTGCAGTGAATAGTAAGATACGCTTCTCTTCAGAACAGATTTTCCACTTCTTTGGGAGCTACCTTAACATGTTACAATGCTGCTCATCCCTCATGCAGATGTAGCAACACGCATATCTAATCGGCTTGCTGTTCTGTGACCATATGGCCAACACAGTCACTTTTCTTGACGATACAGTAATTTATTCAAGCACCTGGTAGGAACGTCACTTACAACATCTTGCTGCTCTTTTGTCAAGCTAGCGAATGGACGGGATGATGGCAGCTACTGACATGTACCTTTAAGGCAGGCAGGCAGTGAAATACCTGACTCGTTGTTCTCGGGAGGAGGCCAACCATTAACTAAGCAGAACTAACTTAACACAATCTCATTCCAAACACCAAAACACTCATGGGAACCTTTGCAGCCCTTTCAACTATTAAATATAAGCTTATTGTGCCTTTTTCATCTTTGGAAGGAGAGAGAGACAGATATATTTCTGTAAAATGTTGGCAAGGAATAGGAGTTAGGCCCCTACCATATGACTCTGCATTCTGCACTTTTTAATTGATGTCCTGTGTATCCAGATGGCGTAGAAGTGTTAAGATTTTTCCTCCCTTTTATGTTTCTTTTTATTAAACCAATGTGCCTGACCTGAGAGCTCTCATAGTTTCTTGGAACTTGGAGAGAAATGACAGGCTTACCAAATGACCCCAATGGCAACCCCGTTTCCACGGAAAGCAGGCAATCAGAAGGCCATGTGCAGCAGTGTAGTGATACCTTAATTTCATTTGCAAGCGACAAAGGTAGGAGAAAATGTGGTTTCTAAGACTTATTTGATAACAGAAAAATAGTAGTAATTACAGATTCACATCCTTTAGTATTTGTTGCCTCATTCTGCTCTCAGGCAGAAGGGTGTAAATGTGGATCCATTTCAGTGTGTTTTAGGCCATTGCATGTGAGATGAGAATTTGGCCCCAGGTTGCTAATCTGTCTGAGTTTCCAATCTTAGTTCTTGCAAGAAGAAAGCTGAATGCACAGGGGAGAATAGGAAAGGAAATGCTGAAGCATTACTCAGAGGGATGCTCCACCCTAGGGAAGTTATTACATCTATCTAAAACCTGATTTTTTTATATATATATATATATTTTAAAACTAGTATTGTGGATCTTGCTCTCTTGTTCTGAGAGGTAATACACTGGAATGCTTCATGGCACACAGTACTTCTATACGGTGCCTACTTTTTTTCCAGCATAGATAACAGTGGTTTTTAACATCCGTGAGAAGTGGCCACTTTTCAAATAAATGAGACAAAGGAGAATTTAAGCGTAGCCCAAACCTGCAGACAGACCTAAAATAGAGCAGAAACGGTATATTTTTCAAACCAAGTTGTTGGCTGAGGATGTATCACTGAGGCTTCTGTTCTGAGCTCTTTGGATGTGAGCTTTATTTAATTGCTCTGGGTCTCAGTTTCCCCATTTACAAGATAAACTGCGTTTATACCCCATCTTTGTTAAAACACCTCAGAGCAGATGCTAAAGTTCTCCATTCTGCATAGTCTTCGGGATTCTTCCCAAGCTGTTCACACCAGATTTCACACTTAAAATCCTGGCTGTCCTCTGACTCCTTTATATTTCTCTATCTAAAGTGTGTGCAAGTTACACGTCCTCTGGCAGAGAAGTAGAAAACCATTGCAGTGGAAATAAGAATTTGGCTCAAAAGCTTTGGGAATTGTTGACATTTGAGCCGGTGCCTGATCCAGACCCTCCGATATGCATACTTTCCTGTATTTTGATGAAGTTTGAAACTGGATCTGAATTTCAAAGTTGGCCTATGTTTCTCCAATGGCCCAAAGCAAACCCACAGTCCAGATTTCAGGAAAGTGGATTATGCACTAAATTTAGGCACACTGGCATTACTGGGGCAAAACCCTGACTCTCTTGGACCAAATAGGAACTTTTTCCGTGAGAAGTATTTAACATGGTGTCCTTCAGGTGCTTAGGCCAACCAGAGAATTTCAGTCTGTGGGACCGGAGGTACCAACTTCTTTGTTGCTTTTGGTCCAAATGCAGTTCTCTGTACTTGTTGTTCCAGAGTATAACCCTTTCTATAACAGACAGAGGAATGTAGGATTGGAAGCAGGCTCCTGTGTCATTGAGTTCTGTTCCTTGCTAACACCTTGTTTCAAGCAGATGAGGCATGAACTGTCTTCCTACTAATTCTTTGGCTCCCAGGAGTCTGCTGGGAATATAGTTTCTAACTGAGATATGATCCATAATTTATTAGTCAACAAGTGAATGTATGAAGCATGCACGGTGGCTCTGTACTTATAGTACCCAAGGGAACAAACTTGCTTCACAATTGCCACAGAATTGATGGAATGGAGCTGTGTGCATTATAATAAACAGATTATTCCCATTAAATTAGCTCAAACGTCTTTGGGAAAATTCATAATGTTCCAACGCGCAGCTTGTCTTTTGAAGTATAAAAGGAACAAGGAATGTCAAAGACAATTTATTTATCTCTAATATGTTTTGGAAGGATGTGTCTTAGGTTCTTTATATCAGCAGTGTTTGGCTGCACAAAGTAATATAATGATGCTGTTGCTGTACACTGTCAGAGAGGAAGTCTTTAGTTATAGTACACCATGGAGAGCAAAACACAGCAGCTGTTGTCTTTGCACTTTATAAAGCTGTCAGGGAGGCTCTGCTGAGTGTAAGGTTAAAACATTCAATGTCAGAATTTACTGACAGAGGAAACTTTTTATTTATTTATTTATTGTAAACAGATGAAAGTCATAACTGTAGTTGTAGTCAGCCACAAGCAATCTCTCTTGGCAATAGCAATGAAAAGGGAGCCAATGGAACAGTCTGGGATTTGGGATACTTGGGCATAGGTCCCTCTTTTGCCACAGACCCTGGACAAACTGCTTAGGCCAGGCACACATGAGGAAATTTCCAGCAAAGAATGTACTTGCACTCGAGGTCTGTGGATCCCCGTTGTTCTGACAAGAGAGATTTGTTGAACTGCAAATGTTAACAAAACCTTTAATAAGGCAGTAAGCAAGGCTGTAATTAACATCTCATCCCTTTCTGCACCCTACACACACGCACACCCCCTTATCAACACAATACAGATAAGCTGTAGATGGATAGACTTGCTCTGTCAGCCGGGCTATCCGTTGATCCATCTGTCCATCCATGTGCCACTCTTTAGGCAGCTACAGTCAGAACTTGAAGCTAGGGTGACTCTCTGCCTACAGGCTTGTAGAAAGTCCTTATTGCTACAAAATATAAAGCTCTAGAACAACACAGATTATTTTCCTTTTAAATCCTTCCCTTTTCAGTCTGTCTAAGCTTCAGTATTTTGAGGATACCTTCTAGAAGCAATAAAGGCAGGTTTTTTCACAGCACTGAGAAGCAAAACCGAGATAATTCCTGGCTCTCTCTCCATCTTGACAACACGACAATCCGCTCCATAGCTTATGATTCCCATCTCCCACATGAATGGCCTTTCTTTCGCTGCCAGTTTCAAAATCTTGACAGCTCACTGAGAATCAGAAGGGACTTTGCATGATCAGAGTGATAATTTTCAAATCATTTTGTCTGTGGTTAAAAGTAAGTTTGGGAATATTATTTATTCAAATTGCTAACATGATGGACCACAAGGGAGATGCAGAGGAGTATTTCCTGGAAATGATGGTTCGGGGAGAAGTTTCAGTTGCAGGAGACAGATGCCACCCAAACTCAAGCTATTTATGGAAGTGCCAGGGAAAATGTCACCCTGACTAAAAGTGATACTATGATATATGTTTGGGGTTAATTTCAACTGACATATGGCTATGCTCTGAACTCAACCTAGGCTTTGATTTAATGGGTTTCTGATTAGTTGAGTTTGAGCAGTAGAGCTCTGAACATAGCAGGTACGGATGGTATGAAGTGCAAAGTGTCCTTTTCCTGGAGCATCACTTTATTGTTAACTCGTAACACAAATGTAAGCCTCAGTTTAAGCTTTCTTCTCCGAATGCAGCCATTCCTAGGGCTTGTCCAGCAACGCTTCTCTAACCCAATTTTCTTCTTCGGCTAAGAAAGAAATTTTGGTCCCATTTAGATCACAACTTGGAGACATGTCTGCCTCAGTTTCTTGGCAGAAATTAATTCACATCTTTACGCAGGGTTTCAGCACCTGAGCTTGAGGAGCATCAGCAAGGAATGGCTGTTTTGTTATTTCAAACCTCCATGGTGCAGTGTGCTTTTCTGACCAGGAAAGGTCTGGATTGCATGTGAACTCAAGCAGGTTGTTGGAAATTTATTAGACCTATTACTCTCCTGTCTAGATGTTACTCTCTATGGATGGTTTATTGAATTGATTTAGCTTTATTGTCTATTGCAGGTGTGAGTTTTCAGACCAAAAGATTATAGGTTGTACAGCTCTTGGCTACAGTGCTAATGGATGCATATAAATGTTGTACTTGTGTACATACATGATGCTCAGGGCAGACCTTCTTCCCTGAAGGGTATGTTAATGCATCTGTTGGCATTCACTACCCCATACTACTTAGTTTTACTGTGATAGTCACCATATTGGCTAAAACTAGGAGTAGAAATGCCACAGGCCATGTAAGTAATTGATAATAAGATGCCTGGTGTTGCTAATACTGGCTCTCTTGCATTTTTGTTTTGAAAAGCTCAGCTCATTGGCCATAGTGATGCTCTGTGTTTTCAAAAGAGGAAACTATAAGTTACTTCTCCAGTAAGAAATGAAATACGGAGATAAATCTAAAATCATACATAGAGGAAAGGTCTATTTATCTGTTTTCCAATTACTTTTGCAGCCTTAAAATGTTGAGAGAGAGAAATTACACAAGTGACCATGGTAAGCATACGTCTCCCATAAGCTTTTCTGTTTTGTTGCTCACAAACAATTATATGAATAGTTTAAAAGTTGAGTTTCTGGAAGGCCTTTGCTTTCAGCCACTGCTACATGCCAAAGAACTTGAATATTAAATCAGATGAAAACCAGCCGCTCGAAAATGTGCAATCTGCCGTGTATTCTAATGCACATCTGTCTGCGGTATATTGGAAATTGTTGGCTCTTACTAGGGTTGCTTTAGAAAACTCTGTATCAGATATAGCTCTGGACAGTCTTTTTTTTTTTCCAAATATTTTTAATAATAATTTATTGTACTGTGAAAGGCTCTAGATTCAGTTCTGTTGAGACTTCCTTGTTTAGCCACAAAAATAGATGCAAGTTGGGTAGTCACAACACAAAACTTCATCACGCTGCTGTGTCTCAAACCAGTGCTCGGTGGGACCTCCTCTAGGTGTTGATAGTTCTTTCCCTGATAAGCTAACGGTCCCAGGGTGAGAGTGAAGGGATGGAGAAGGGGAGAGAAAATGGTATTGACTGCCAGCCCCCCTCCTTTTTCATGAAAATAATGGAAATCCAGGACAATCAGTACCTCAGGACTAGTCTCAAAGAGAGCAATCAAGCAGGCAGTTTGCACTTCAGATAGAGAGGAACTAGAAAATTTATCTCTGCCATCCTGACAGCAACAGGTAAAAACTGCCAGAGTCTGCCGTTTGCCTGGGAGAATCCACAAAGAACAATTCAGAGATAAACAGTTGAACAATAATGTGTGCAGTGAGGGTGGAGTACACTAGCATTTGAAAATGCAGAGGAAGCCTGTAGGCCAGCTTGATATTTTTAATCAAAGCACTCTCCAAAAGTGGAATTGATACAATTGTGTGTGTGCTCAGACTGAATCCTGCTCTGATAATTTTCTGGGGCTGTTTTCTGCACCACAAAAGCACAACAGGCTTCTTGGTATCTCTCTCACATAGTAAGCATTTTCACAAGAGGCCATGAATGGCAGAGACTCAGTGATTGTACTTTGTCTTTTTATGCCTTTTGCAATGTTTTTTTAAACCCCTAAAGTTCTGCAAGGGCAGGGGCTTGGGTAGTAACCCTGACATAGACAGGCCCATGCTCCGCGGAGACTGCGGGTGACATTGCACAATTAAGGTCTCTACTTTTGTATCACACGAGGTTTGGGTTCCTTTGCTGAAGGTACAAATGGAGAAACTTGTGAGTCAGCAGAAGCGACAGTGAAAACGAGGGATTTAGGGAAGTTGAGTCACAGAAAGTGGCACTAACGTGGGCCTGATTCTTTTCTCTTTTTTTTCTTTCTACCAGTGGAATAACTTTATTGAAAGTAACAAGGTTACAGAAGTGTCTTTGAAAGGAAAATCAAACCCAGTAGGTCTTTCTGCTTGCAAGCCAATTCTTAAAAGGATTTGAACACTTCATTCATTTTAGTCATTGCAGCCAGCGGGACAGCATGCTTAAGCACACTACCATTAAGCATCATTCTGCTCCCGATTATTTGACTAAGAAAGGTCCCTTGGACTCAAGTGACAGAGGATGAGCACTAAGGACACCTTCCTTGGTTGAAGCCACAAGTAATAGGGCCTATGTTGAGCTGCAGATTGCACAGAGCATGTCCACAGCAGTATAGTAAAGTCCCAGTGCTGCAGGGAATTGATGCTGCCAGCTCCATCGCCTAAGCTAAAATATCCCTTTGCCTGGGAATAGTTTATCTGTTAAATGCCACACAGCTATCATCTCCACAGGCACTTTTGTTGTCATAAAGTGCCAAGTGTCAAAAGACAACATTGTGCCAAGCGTTTAGGAGCTGCTGCCATCATTGTGTCCAAGTGGCAGTTTCCAACTCATTTGCTGCTGGTAAATGATTCACAACAAGGTTTGGGGGATGCTGTCATTTCCTCTGAGGTGGAAAGTCCTATAGAAGCATAGAGAAGATAACTGCCTTTCTATAGATTTTCTTCAATCTTCCTATATAACATGATGCATAATTCTAGCCCTGATATAGGATTGGCTTCTTTGGGAGCTCCCAACCTTCTGTACTGCTCCAGAGTTGTCCTAAAAAACACAATTGGCATAGAAGTTGCATCCCTAGGTTGGCATCTATAACCATGCCAACTAGATATACCCAGAATCAAGGGTTAATTTTCCCCGTGCAGATGCTGGTCTCACTTTTTTACTAGTGTAAACACAAAGAGACTTGGCTGAAGGCAGTAGGATTTAACTGGTATAAAACTGGCAGAAAAAAATAGAACTGGCCACACAATCAGTAATAATGCATTTATTCAGGACGCAAATTGATATCCACCGATTGTGGTTGTTTATTGAGGTTCCTATGTTTCCTGGAGGCACGGCATACATAATTGCCTCCGGACAGGGTTGGAATAGTAGAAAAGGAGGGTTGGAAGGGACCTCAGGCGGTCACATCTAGTTCAACACCCTGCTCAAAGTAGGACCAGCCCCAACTAGATCATTCCAGCCAGGGCTTTGTCAAGCTGGGCTTTAAAAAACCTCCGAAGATGGAGAACCTGCCACCGCTTTAGCTAACCCATTCTATTGTTTCACCACACTCCTAGTGAGAAAGTTTTTCCTATTATCCAACCTAAACCTCCCTTGCTGCAACTTGGGACCATTGTTTCTTGTTGTGTCACCTGTCACCGCTGAGAACAGTCCAGCTCCATCCTCTTTGGAACCAGCTTGCGGGGGGCTAAGAGCTGCTATCAAATCCCCCTCAGTCTTCTCTTCTGCAGACTAAATCAGCCCAGTTCCCTGAGCCTCTTCTCATAAGCCATGTGC